TATTTATATGGGTACCAAGAAAACTTAGCCCTAAGCTCTTTGGGCTCTAGGTTTCTTGGGCTCTTCTCATACTCTTCATACTCTTAGCCCAATTGGGCTTAAGTAAAAGAGCACAAATCCAATTGTCTCCCACTTGCTCTTTTGGGTACAAACTTGAGTCAAAAATCCAAGATAATGTAACCCATAAGTCATCATTAACTAAAAACCACCTCATCCCTTGTCTCAAGCTAGCCTAGGGATCTAACGTATGTTATTAATCATGTCTCGTGATAATCAATGAATGGTTATCTAATTCGGAGCTACTCCATTAAAAGCCCAAACTTGAACTCTAAGATTATATAACATTTATAACATGAATATGCATCGCCCCTTTGTAGAATGTCAATAATTGGTTGACATGTTTTCTATCACTCAATCAATTATTTATTCCTTTGACTTTGATAGTTTCTCTAATGGATTAAATGCATTGGCCAATGTTTTTAATATCCAAGTACCGAAACATGTCAAAGGGACATATCCTACAAATTCCACGTTGTTTATTTCACAAATACTGATAATCAAATAATTTCACTTCCAAAATATAGAGTTATTGGATGACAATAGATCAATCATCACTCGTTGGTAAATCAAAGAATGAAAAATATTCAATTACCTATTTATAAATAACTTAAGATTAAGAGCAATCACATAATTATAGTTAATTGGAGATTTGATACCTTATGACATAAAAATAACCTTAATCAAATCCCTCCTTAATCTTTTCAATGTAAATATTAATTACAACAATATTTTACAATGATTCGGACAAAATCATTTCATAAAATATTGCAGCCTAAATAAAGTGCCCAACTTTATTTAACAGCTATGAATCTATAATTGTGAGAGCCTATGATCATATTCTCCATGATCGTATCCATATGATCATATACTGCACGGTTGATCCAGACCTTGATGTTTGTATATAATGTGTAAAATAAATGAATAATACGTCATTTATAACTTTTAGAAAAAAAATACAATGTCATAATATCTTACTCAAAGAGCACAAAATTAACAAAGTAAAAATCCAATCTCCTAAAGCTACAGCAAGTCCAAAATCCTCCCAAGACCCATAGATGTAACATGCCTCTTGAACACACGTGTAGAAAAAATCTAAGTAAAAAGGTCAACAATGTTTTCTTCCGATGCTATCTTGGTTACCATTGTGTCTCCTCTTTTAATGATGTCTCGGATCAAGTGGTACTTCCACTCTATGTTGTTTGTCTTTTGTGACACCTCGGTTCCTTAGATTATGCTACTGCCCCATTATTATCATAGCAAAGTGTGATGAGATGACTACCACCTAGTATCACCTGAAGATCCATGAGAAACTTCTTCAACCATGTGGCTTCCTTTGTGGTAGAGTCAGCCACACATGATTATTTGACACTCCTCCAACAAATGGCCCCAATATTAAGAGTAAACACATAGCCCGAAGTTTATTTTCTTGAGTCAATGTCTCCTTGGAAATCCGAGTCTATGTAACTAATGGTTTCAAGACTCCCACTAGAATAGGACAACATATAATCTCTCATTCTCCAAAGATACTTTAGTATATGCTTAACTACTATCCAGTGTTCCTCTCAAGGATCATATTGGTACCAGCTTACTACTCCCACTACATAGTAGATATCTGGTCTGGTATACAGCATGACATACATGAGAGTACTACCTACTGCCGAAAAATAAGGTATCATACTCATGCATTCTCTTTGCTCCGGAGTCTTAGGGGAATGCTCCTTATAGAGATGAATCTCATGCCTGAGGTAAAAATTCCCTCTTGGAATTCTTCATGCTGACCCTGGCAAGGATCTTGTCAATGTAAGTGGCCTGGGATAGTGCCAATAACCTATTCTTATGGTCTTGTAAGAGTTTAATACCAAGAATATAATTGATCTCCCCCGGATCTTTTATATCAAAATGCTTACTCAGCCATGTCTTTATGTCTAACAACACATCTGTATAATTTTTGATAAAGAGTATACCATCTACATAAAGCACCAAAAAAGATATTGCTTTCCTTGGATCCTTGTATACACACATGGCTCATTAGGGCTTTTCTCAAAACCATGAGATTTAATGGCTTGATCAAACCTAATGTTCCATGACTTGGATGTTTGCTTGAGTCCATAGATAGACCTTTGAAACTTGCACACCATGTGTTCCTGTCCTTTGGCTATAAACCCTTTTGGTTGTTGCATATAGATATCCTCTTCCAAATTTCCATTTAGAAATGCAGTTCTGACATCCATTTGCCAAATCTCATAACCGAGACTTGCTGCATTAGCTAAGAGAATCCGGATAGACTTGAGCATGGCTACCGATGAAAAGGTTTCTTCATAGTCTATACCTTCTATTTGGGTGTACACTTTCGCCATCGATCTAGCTTTGAAGTTTCCTAGGGAATGAATGCAAAAAGTTCTTATAAATAGAGAAAGTGTCAATAAATTCTTTTGGCAATAAACTATAGAAGCATCCACAACTTATTCATAAGATTGCTTTGAAAGGGATTAAAAAACCAAGAAAAAAAGAGTGAGTTTTGAAGGCCCATCTCTTTAATTAAAGAAATTGAATACTATAAATCAAGAAACTTTTTGAGGGGAAATTTATAAAAGGAAATTGATATTTTTTTTCTAATTTGTCTTCACAAACCTCCCACTTTCATGTAAGTTATTGAATAACATTTTATTTACATTGGATAATGTTCTAAATTAGTCTATTTTAAAGTATGTAAATAATACAACAGAGCTTATGTTTAAAAATTAAACTTTAAAAGTAATTCCATTTTACATTATCAACTTAATGTTTTTAAACCACAATTTTATATTCTGCCACTGAGTATTTTTTTTTCTCCTTCGATTCTAGACTTTTTTGCATCATTTATATAAAAATAAATAAATTAAACCCAAACGGTTAGTTCGACGGTAAAAACGATAAACTGGTCAAATGTAATCATAGTCAAATGTCCACAAATAGACGAATGTCTTCACGCCCATGATTTTTTTCTCTCTCTCTTTTCTAGGGTTCCTTCGTATGTAATTATAATCCAATAACTATTTTTTTTAGGGGCATTTGGTAAAGAAAAAAAAAATTATCAGGGAGTTACAATTACTAAAGATATGGTGGGAAAGTGAGTTTTTAGGAAAGTTAAAAAAAAAAAAAATTGTTTGATAGGCTGAAATATTACCAGGGAAATTGGTTTAAGTTTCCCGAGTCTATGTTTGGTTGAAAGTAAAATATTGCTGGAAAAATGGGGTGAAATTACAAAAGCAACCTTAACTAAATAATATTGCACAGTAATGATTAGGGTTAGAAAAGGGTCATTTTCGTTATCTACTTCGCGCTCCTTTTTACATTTTGTCAATATTGTCAAAATACCACCTTCGGAGTGGTATTCTTAAACTGTTTTTCATCACAATTTTCAAAGAAACGAGAAATCATGGGCAAATCAGTTTACTGGGTGAATTTTTAAAAAACTTGTACCAAACATGAACAACTTGAAATATCCTTCTCACTTGCCTGAGTATCTGCAAAAAAAAAAAATCCTACCAAACGCCCCCTTAGTGATATGTGAAATCTAAGTGTTATTTGAGACTTTGAGTCATGGGAGGGGTTGCAGATTGTATCATCAATAAGGTCTTCATATCCGTCAGCAGGTTTTAAACTCACACCCTTATTAGTTATGAAACTAATCCTTAACCAATTACTTCTATCCTCGTATGCTCTTAGGGTCTGTTTGGAGCACCTGATAAAGAAGATAGAATATGATAACTTATCATATCCTACTTTTATCTCTTGTTTGGTGGATCAATAGGATATGATTAGATTATCCTATTGTCTCATTTTATCCTATCCAATACATGATTTCTTATCCTATAGGGGAGCTGAGTTAGGATTCAACAGGATATGATACAAATATTGGATACTCAATATATCCTCACGCTACCCAATATATCCCCATGCTACCCAATATATTTATATTTATTGCATTATATTTTATTTTTTCTTTCTCTTTTCTCTTTTCTCCTTCTACATAATCTTATCAGATTGCTAATCAGGTGCTCATCAAACATAGAACATGATACAGGCTTATCAGCCTCATATCATATCCTACCCTTATCTTATCATGTCCACCAAACGAGCCCTTAATATTTTAGGTGTTATATATATATATAATTTGAGGAGGGATATTCTCACTACCAAAAATTTTCACTACCAACTTACTACCTATCTAATCACCATTAGATTAACATTTTCTCTCTCTTCAAAAACTTTTTAACATTCTCTCTCTTTGATCCAATGGTGATGTGATAGGTAGTAAGTTAGTAGTAAAAAAATTTGGTAGTTAGAATATCCTTACTCGTATAATTTATATCTAAGTTTTTTATTGATGAGTTTTTGAGTAGTACAATATGTTGTGGTTTACCATTCACGTTTCAAAAGTTGAGCAAATGATTCAAAATTTGACAACTATGCCCTGGAGTAATAATCCAGGTTCAGTTCTAAAAAATTAAAATATTAAAAAAGAAAGAAAAAGAAAAAACCAAAAAAGAAAAGAAAAAGCTGTAGCTTCACCTAATAATACATGAAAATGGGATAAAACTATTTTAAACTTTATGCTTATTGTATTTATTATTGATTTAATTATGAGATGTTGCCATGTGACGCTATTATTTAACTTGGTGGCGGGGCTTATTTTATTTTATTTTTTCCTTTCAAAATAAGAATTTGGGCCCAGAAGGAATCTTAAGCTTTTTAGTTTGATATATAGTCTATTGAGAATGGACTTCCCTTGTATACTTAAACCACATAAAGGGCCCAGTCATACTCGGTTCAGCCTTTACAATAGCATTTAGGTTTGACAATAATATGTTGGATATGAAAGTAATTTAAGGGGCACTTCAAACTAACTCTACCTATTTACAAAAAAGTGGTCACTTAGAATTGGGTACGAAAAAGTTATCCATTTATTGGGATAAAGTAAAAAACTTAGGAATCTGAACATGTGAACCATATAAATTCAGTGGTCCATGTAGAGTTGAGAGGAATGATACAATCAAACAAATTAAACTCCTATTTAAGCTTTAAACCTTGAGAAAGCCAATGTGGCCCTTTTCTTTCTTGATCAAATGTCACACTGGAACTGCTTATAGGGGTGTTGGGGTCACTGCAATCTCCCACTCTATCTGATTGGAAAGAGACAGAAGAATTTAGGTCCCTAGTTTTATCATTGGGTGATTCTGAACATCCTGATTGAAGCAGATAACATTTTTTCTTCTTATTACTATTAACATGGATGCCTCCAATACTTAATGTCAAATCCACTTCCATGTCTTCATCAAAACCATCACTGTTTATTTTACAACTCTGAAATGCAGTATAGGAGCTAGGTCCTGCTTCACCTTCATCACAGCCATGTGTTTCAAGGTCAAAACCCCTTTGCTTTTTTATGGTCTCTCCAGAACAGCTTCCACTCCTTTCCTTTGAGCATAGAATATCCTCTTTCAAACTTTGAACATGGAAATCAGGCCCATATGGAATTTGTGGTGTTTGCTGTTGTTGTGGAATGAAATGAGGGTGACTTATACCTAAGCTGTTCATGGGGGTCCAAAATTTCTTTTGTTTGGTTTCCTTTTTGAGCTCATCCATCAACATCTTTTGCACACTGTATACCCGGTGTAGTTCCCTTACCTATAAATTCCAAAATACTCATAATTGCCAAATAGTAACAGCTTTATATTCTTGCATACTATAATGTCATTTCTCATACAACAAATAAAAAAAGCTTATAGAATGATTAAAATATGGCCATGGATACAGATGTCACGGAATGAAGGACATCTTACACTGATTCTGACATCAGTATATATGGTTAGTGTCAAAGTACAATGATTGCAAATTACTAGCAAATTTAATAAGACTTGAATTCACAACTAAAGAAGCCGAATAAGACTTTTGATCCACCACTATGATTTTTTTTTTTTTCATTCAGTGTAGCATTTATGGTGCAAATTGAATTTTGTATTTTTAAGATGAGAAGATAAAGCATACAACAACATGATTATTACCTGGTTTTTGAAGATGTCTTCATGCATCTGCATTGTCTTTTTGATGGATTCTAAATTGTTTCTGTCATGCATCCTATCCATGGGATCTTGCAATTTATCGACTCCAATACTGCAGTGGTTGTTAGTTAGTCCTTTGTTCTGATAATGTTCCCAGACATTCACACCACCCACAGTGAACTTGTTGCTGTCTACTGAGGATGCTAGAAGGTTCATGGAATAGTCAATTTTGGTTCCCATGCCTGCAAAAGAAATTTACTATTTTAATTTTTTTTTTCTCTCATTATCATCAGATTTCAACTTCTATGCCTAGTGAGTGTTGAGTAGTGGCATCAGCAATTGGAAAAATGCATTTTCTTATGCTTATGCTTGAGAGAAATAATGAATGAAACATGTTATTCCTTTATATGTTTCTAATATCAATTAGTAGTTATTATCTCTCAAGAAACAATGTGAAGATGGGGATAGTACTCATACCACAATTAATTCCATTTTAAGGGAAGAAAGTAAAGCACTCACATATAGAACATCAAAATCCCCAAAGGAACAGTAATATACTAACATTATCTTGCAAGATTTTGTTGCTTCCTTTTTTGGTGCATAGATTTAGGCAATATATAGCAACTGTACTAGTTTGTTTGAGTAAATTTGTCAAAACAGGGGAAACTTCACTAACCAAAAGTAGAGAGGGAAGGGACAGAAAGAATTTGCATTGAAAGATTCAAAAGTGTAACCAAACATTGCAAGAACATTAAAGAAGAATGAAATAATGAACATTAGATGAAGGCATTTTATGTGGGATGAAAGCATCACTAGTTATAAGGCCAGACCCATAACAGTGATCTTCATCTACTACTCCTAGAAACTAGGCAGAGAAAAGTGCCCATTTCTTCTTGTTCCTTATAAAGTTATGCTCAGTGAAAAGAAAAAGAAAATAAAGATATCCTTTATTTGTTATTGTAAAAACAGCAACTAAACTTTATATCTGATGAAGCTCAAATAGAGACTCAAAAAGAATTCAAGAAAATTAAAAGAAAACACCCTTCACACAGACCAAAGACCTTAAATGTCAAGGACATACACAAGTCAACAAAAATTTCTTTATATGTTACTGCTTAAACTTTTTGATGCATCACCTGGATGGAGATGAACATCACTTGCAGAGCAATCAAAACTATCAGAAAAAGCCTTCAACTTTATCAGTGAATGAAATACTTAAGAAGCATTAAATCTCGGAACTGAAACACCTTCACACGTTGTTTGTTTGAAGACTCCACACCACATCAAGGAGAGAAAAAAAAAGAAAGAATATTATCATTAGAAGAACACCTGTTGTAAGATGTACCAAAATTGCAGCTTTCTCTGATGAAGTTCATTGAACATCTTCCTCCCTCATGCCAGCATTTTGAGCCATAGGTTAGCCTTACTAAGAAAACCAATACTAATATAACAAGTGGCCAATTCTCTCATGTTTCTCCTTGAATCATGGTTGAAAAAAAAAAGGGGACGGATCAATCCAAGAAGTGCAACACCTTGGGAATTTGGAGAAAAAGCTCATAGACAGTTGCAAGCCTCTTGGCAGTTCAACCCTTTACTCAGAAACAACAAAGGAAACAGCTCAGATTTTAAAACTCTAATCATGGGGTTAATAATTCAGACATGACAGGCTGTGAGGGAAGGAGGCAAGGCAAAAGCTGGAGCAGCAATGTGTCAGTGCCTTGGTGATATTGAGAGAGAGAGAGAGAGAGAGAGAGAGAAAGAGAGAGATGTTATAATATGAATATTTGGTTTTTGTAACATGTACTTTAGTTTAGAGAGAAAGATGTTATAATATGAACATTTGGTTTTGGTAACATGTACTTTAGTTTATTGTATTTTGTATATTTGTGCTTCACTGTAATGTGGGAAAGGATAGGAGAAAGGGGACCACAAAAGTTGCATAATAAAAACAAATGACACTCCTAAACACGAGCAAATTTAGGCCAGTGAAACAAGATATTCTAGACAAAGTTTTGCAGGACTTAATCAAGATATGCATGAACTATGAAAATTGGTGCTTCTTTCCTACATGACCTACTACTATCTCTTTCTTTCTCTCTCTCTCTCTATCTATCTTTAAATTTTCTTGTTTTTTTTGGATATTCAACGATATATTGAGATTTGGTTATTCTTTCCGTACATGCAGAACAATATCTAGTCATCTTGTTTGTGTTTGAGATTTCACCAGAGTACCAATTTCAGGTGTTTATTGGGATTCCATATAATGAATTTCTCTTGGCAGCAGTAAGTTCCATGGACTTGGGATTTGAATTTGATAATGACTGCTTTCATCCTCACACACTTGAGGGTCATAAACATACTCAAAAGTTCTATAGAAAGGATCAAGGATCATGCATATGCTTCTTCTGAATTTGAGAATAAATAAATGACAAGAATTATCAATAATATATTTTTCCTTTAATTCAGATAAAAAGATTAGGTCTTGCAACAGTCGTAAAATTAGCGGTTAGGATATTCTTTATAACCCGAAAGTCACTTATTCGAATATGGAAAACAATTTTTATGTAAAATTGGAAGAGTAAGACCTCATACAATTGATCATTTCCTTCCAAGTTGGGAAACTTATTAGATAATTATCGAAGAGAGTGGAAACTATAAATTTTCTTAAATGAGTTGTCAATAAAAATTTGAAGATATTAAACAAATAATTAAGATTGAAAGAAAATAAACAAATAATCAAAAACACTTCTAAAAAAGCCTAAAGATTCCAAAATGCTGATCCGGAAAAACAAGGGCAACACAGATCCATAGGAGTTTCTGATCATTAAGCAATGCATAGATTTAGCTATTTAAAGATAGGCTTTGAGATGCCATAGTTATCTCCAACACATATAAAATATTTAGAATTCATACGAGGTTATATAATGAGAAAAGAAAAAAATATATAAATTTCATATACTTTTATATATATATATATAAGGTTTTCATTTTATCCTTTAACATAACACAACAAACTTTCCTACTCTCACAACATTTTGTGGGGCCCACACTTTTTAAAACAAAAAAATAAATAAAAAATTAAAGCACGCAAAACGAATCTCTATAACATTACACAATCACTTTTCCTACAACATAACTCTTATAAAACCTATATATATATATATATATATATATATATATATATATATACATAGGGTAATAGTTTTCTCATGTAGTAGGAGATAATTATTATCTTCTACAGATTTATTTATGTAGATGAGATCCACTTTCAGAGGAGAGAGAAAAAAGTAAAGTGAATCTCATCTTGAATTTGTGTGTGTAGGAGGTAAATTATTTTTTATGTAATATAAGATTAATAAATTTCACATATATATATATATATATATATATATATATATATATATATATATGATAAAATTATTTTTTATAATATGATAGATATTAAACCTTTAAATATTTTTCCATTCATCGTACATGTGGACATGCCAGTCTGTCTTGTCTTGCTTGCTTTTTAGTTCCTCTCCATACAGGGACCTTAATGCTACAATTGCTTCAGCAAATTGCACACACAAAAATGCACATGCGTGCTATACTACATTTGTGCATTAATATATGCTTACGTATGTTTTATTTTAGGGTGTTAATCTTCCTAAACTTGTTGAAGCAAAAGTGAAGCCTAACTTTTATTTCCAGGCTGTCAATTCAATAGCGATTGAATTGATAATAATTAAATATATTTTAAATTTTATTTAATATATTAAATAATAGATTATCATAGAGATAAAGTAATATATATATATATATATATATATATATATATATATGGGATAGGATATTGTGACACACAAATAATGTTACGCACAATGTTACGATCATATCTTAACTGTTGATTTCCGCCAATCAACGGTTATCATTTATTGCGAATTAATAATTAATTAATGAGTTTGATTTGAAAAATGATAACCGTTGATTGGCAGAAATCAACGGTTAAGATGTGGAGTAACATTGTGCGTAATATTATTTGTGTGTCACAGTATCATATCCCTATATATATATATATATATATATACATATATATATAATCAAGTAATATGCAATGCACAGGTGGGGTGAGAATATGTGTTCGAATCTTTCCAATATCACCTTTGGGAGAGGATTAAAGCCTTAATCCTGGACCCGCTCCGAATCGGATTAGTTGCGAAGCGATGAACCGGATGAAATATTTCCAAATAATAATAATAATAGACAAAATTTATAAGGTCACAAGAATGACACTTAAAAATATTTAATGTTATTAACTGAAGGTATATCATCAGAAACGCGGAAGCGCATCGTACCGATGTGATGAGGAATGAAGAACACCGTTTTGATTACCTGAGATGAAGCAGCGAGCGTGACAATTTCTCACGTTCTGTTCTCCTCCTCAAGCCTCACGATCTGCAGCAACGCACCACGAACGGTCGCAATTCCGCTCTACGGTTGATCTTCCAGGCTATAACTCAAGGGGGATCAGGTGGTCGTGTGGGCAACCGTTCAGATGATGAACGTCTGCCTCTTTGTGTCTCTTATGTCTGTAACCCTAGGAGGCACTAGAGAGAAAAGAGAGTTTATATACTCTGCCCAATCTAAGACTAACCCTAAGCTTCATGGGTTGAAATTAGTCTTTTGGGCTCACTTTCACTAAAACTATTGGGCTTAATTGAAAAGAACATATTAAACCCAACATTAACATCTTCTAATTCTTAATAAAATATACCTCAAAATAGCATGATATAGGCTAAAACTACTTCAAACGGATTCAACCAGTTCTTTATTAACTTTTACAGGCTTTGGATTGATTTGGTTGATTCTTTCACAATTGATTTTCTAGGTTATGTCAAACCTTTATTCACATTTTCTTGGGATTATTGAATGTATTGCATTAGATTCTTCTCTCAAGTAATTATTAAGATTATAGAATTAAGAACTTGATGTGTATGGGTTGGCCACGTGAACCATCCACATGGCGAATGAACCTAACAATCAACAATATTATCTAAACAGCACATAGAGAGATATTCAATCATTACCTCGTTGCACAAAACTAAAAATATCTAAGAAAGATATCACGATCCATTTTCTTGGAGGATGATGTTATTACCTATGAGATTATATTGTCGTTATCTATCAAAATTGGGTAACACGAGGGAGAAAGACTCAATGGAGGGAGTCATCAAAAGTTGTCAAAATCAAAGCTGAGTAATCCAGCTTGACTTAAAGACAATGACAAGAAAAAGACCGAATTCGTTGGTTTTGGTTCGATTGAAAATTGATAAATCATGTATTTGGTCGATTTAATTTTAAAAAATTAATTAATGAAAAATTTGGTCTAGAATCAGTCAAAATGTTTTAAAATTGATTGAGAATTAATTGTTTTTATTTTTTATTTAATTAATATTATTTTTAACAAAAAAAAATATTTATTATCAAGTTAAAAAAAATTATGTATGATTTGTACGTATATTTATTATTTAACATTTTTAATTAATTTTTTCCTATATATATATAATTTATTAATTTTTTATTAATTAATTAATTATATATATATATACTAGTTTACGTATAATTTTTTATTAATTGTACGTATATAATATGAACATTTTATATTAATTTAGAATATTATATAACTTTGTTTTTTATAACTTTATAATGATTTATTATTTAATATTTTATATAATATTAAAAGTATATTTAATTACCACTCATTTGATCCATCAAACCAATAAAAAGATCAATTTTTCAAAAAAGCATTGCGTAGAAAGAGAATTTCTTTGCTGTCATGAGTACGTTGCTCCCAGCAAGGCGGTAGTAATCAATCCTAGCTCTCACGAATACCAGTTATTTTAGTAGTTTCCTTAGATCCTTTATGAAGAGTTCGTACATAAAATAAGAAAAGTACATGTTTGGTAAATAAATTAGAAAGATATTAAAATATAAGAACAGTGCATAAAGTAAATGATGTCAAAAAAAATAGTGCATAATCCTAGCTCAATTAGATATGAGAGCTGAGTAGGTGGAGTTAAAAATATGTATTCAATCTTTTTTAGTGTTATTTTTGGAAAGGGTTTAAAATCTTAATCATGAATCTGTCCCGAACAGAATTATCTCTCATAAAAAATACATGTAATTTATCCACACAAAAATATGAGTGATTATTTATTTATTTATTCTGTGACCTTAATTATTTTTATAGGGCGCAGTCAAGTTTTTTCGAGTATCCCCACAATTCGGGTGAATAAAAAAAAACCGATACTTTGATTAATTTCAAATTGAATAGCATGATAGTTATCCTGACTCCAAAAATTCTTTTGAGGATTTGAACCCGAACTCTTTTGATAATTCCTTCGTCCAGGGCTTTTATTATAGTTGTCCCTTCTTTAAATATGTAGATAAACCTCATATTATGAATACTTATAATTTCTTGTAGGATAAAAGTACCGAGGTCAGAAAAGGCACGTTGTAACCTAACAAAGGCACAATCCGTAGGAAAGGACACACCACCATAAACAGATGAAAGTTCAGATGTATTATACTTTGTTCTCTATTCTTTACTTTTATTTTAACATAAACAGATGAAAGTTCAGAGAAAAAGGATGTTATCATTCTACAATATTATTGTCGTGGGAACGCCTTGTTAAGCTAAAAGTGGCTTGGCCCCCTCAATTCCTTTTGCAAAATTCTTGATTTTTTATGCGATTTCTTTTATTAGACTTTTTATTAGCCCTTCATAAAA